CTTTCCAATGAGAAGACAAAAACACACGGACCACCTGTCAGATATTTACCATGGTCCGATTGATCAGATGTGTTAAATGAGGTCCTTTTTAAGACCGTACATTCTTTGAATATTTGAAGTGACTTCTGTATGGGTCGTTTGTGATTACTCTGTTTTTTTAGGTTTTTGTCACGACTTGTACTGTCACACATTTGGAGACACGAGTGTGGAGGTTCTGAACAAAGTATTTTAAGCTACACTCTTTAAATGAAGCGCCAAATGAGGAGATCATTATCATGATACAACATATGCTACATTTAAACAAAGGTCAACTAAGTTAGTATGCTGTTAAGAAAGAAGCACGACGTACACCAAAAAAAAGAAATGTGTTTCATGTTACACGTTTTTCACCTGAACTCACTTGTTAGTGGTATAGTGGTGTACACGATAGAAAAATACGTTTTAGTTGTTAGTTTTTTGTAAATACTGTAAAACACAAGTGTCAAACAACTGAAATCCTAATAAAGGTGCTTTCTTTCTTGTATTTTCTAGACAGTTTAACACACTAGAAATAGGACTGAAAATCAGGCAATTTAACCAAGTGGTATGTACTGTTAAAAGCATATTTCCTGATTACCTCTGTGCTCTAATAGAGAAAAAATAATGCAGCCTTCATCTGTCATAGTCTCTACTTATGTGACTTCTGTGATGTCTGTACAGTGACTTGGGCTATTGTTACGTGAGTGATGGTGTCACACAGAAATCGGTTGAACGATTTCTCGCACAATCCACATCAAAGCAGTATCAGGCGTTATCAGTCACTTCTGCATACACGCTGGGACAAAGAATGTCCAGTTGAATGGCGCACATTGACTAAGCTGTTCATTAAACTGAGCTGACTTCATGTTAGTAGCTTGCTCTATTTTAATAATAGTAATTAATAACGAGTGGCTGTATCATGCAACTTAAGAGTAGCTCTCACATTATTCTGTAGTTCTTCTTTTAAATCTTACATCATTCTGGATGGCATACATTTATTTTGTGAGAAGTTTTACCCCTCATAGAGCAGGCATGTGATCTGGAAATGTTACAAGTGCTTCTTGACAGAGCTTAGCGACAGGGACAGGGACAGACCTGTCTTTTGTTTAGTCCCTAATTTTTCCATACCATCTTACAGCTTTGTTCTGAAGCTATTAGAACTTTTCTTTCCCTTTCTTGTGGCATTGAAGTCACTAGTCTGAGGCTAAAGATTGGTAAATAGGCTAGTGTAAGCATTGCTATCTGTCTGTTGTGGCAAGTCTTCAGTCTAGACCTGCCAGCAGCAGACCTGGCAGGCGTCCACCATAACGACATACAGTATATATCACTTTCTGCTCAAGGTCTGGGATTTTTCTGGGATAAAAGAATAGAGTGAAAATGCAGCACGATAACAGCTGATTTTTTAAACTTTTTTTTTCTGGTATAATGTTATACAAGTTATCTCTTCCTAACAGTGGTGATGAGTTTGCATTGTGCCAGCAAAGTCAAAGAAATAAAGCTGGGAAAAAAAGCATATTTTCCATGACTCTTTCTCTGGTAAGATGATGAAATTTTGGGCCTCTTTGATACAGGATACAGCTTTATTTACCAAACATTGAGTTTTTACTGAGGGTTATAGGCACAAGGACAGGAGAAAATAGGCTGAGATTGAGAATTTGTTGGCGGAAAATACACACAATTGGTCGGACAGTTTGGTTTGGGCTGTTAGCTCGGACTTATTTATATCAAACAGAGAGCAACAAATGAGCAGTCTTGCTGTTGCACAGGAGTCATTGCAGTCTTTTGATGGGCCTTCGGCGAGGGAATTTTGGTTCATGCATTTTGTGTGCGAGGTTGGTGTATTTCTGCATCTCTACCACTATAGGTTGTTGTAGCAGCCTTGTATTCCCTGCTCTCCTTAGCACTATAGATTGACCAGCGGTAGCAGTGGAAAGAGTGTCACTCGTGATGAGAAAAAAAACTATGCTGGTAATGTGGTAGTCAGGGAGCCTAGTCTACTGGTAAAACGGTCCGTTCTCAGTCCTGGGTTCAAATCTCACTATGTATCTGAACCATAGAGTCCTTTATATTGTTTGTATTTTTTTACACTTTAAGATTAGAATTAAGATAGTTTTCCTTTGTTCTAATGTATGTTTGTGATGTCTGTGTATCGCTACCATCACATTTATTGTCTACATCTTGATCCTTTGCAGACATGTTTCAGTTTACCACGATTGCAAAAATAAAAAGTGGTATTGGTTTTTTAGTTATTTGAAGATTTAAGCCCAAAAAATATGGGGGTTAGTCTTGAACAAAGTCCTTTTAGATGAAAAAAAAAAGATACATTTCTTAGATTTACTCATTTACGAACACCTCACTCATAACTGCCTCTCTGTTGTTAGCAAGACTCTTTCTTACCATGTGTGTTTTGGGAGCTGGCCTACTTTCTGTTAGTGTATTGTTTCTGCTTCACCATAGTTTCCTTTGTAAAGGCAGTCTATTTCAGTTTTTTTCTCTTAGACTATTTCATAAATGTTAAGGGCTACCCTGAATGCTTTTGAAAACTTTATAGCATAGAGTAGTATTTAGGTTTGTATAATTTTGCTCTTGATGTATTTCCAATTGTGTAGGGAAACTAAGTGTGTTTTCTATGTTGATGAATGGTGTCTTTAAGAAGACTGCAGGGTTTTGGCTGGAACTGAGCTGACAGACAGGCTTTTGGTGGTTACATAAGTTGCGCTTTGTTGTGTCACTGTGCCGTTGTGATCAGCCAGGGTATGCCCACCAAAAAGCTTTTCTCACACGGAAAACTGCTTCATTAACCAGTTGCAAAATAAGATTTTTAACTTGATCAATGAACATTTTAGTGATAGTCAACAATCACATGCAGGCTGGCATTTCTCATTTATTTGAAATAGAATGCACACCCTCTTTCAGTTCTGTGGCATGTAAATATTAAGACATTACAAAGTTACATTGCACGTTTATTTTGTTTTAAAAAAAAGACTTTGGATAGATGAACACAGTTTCTGATTCAGTAGCTTGAAGACACAGTGCCAAAAATAACATAAAGTAATTGTTTTTATTGTGAAGTTATCAGTCACTGTATGAAGCAATCCTTAACCATGTTTTTTTCCCACTGCTCTTGTAGTTTTTGGAGGTTTGTGGGTATTTGTCAATCCCCAGCCCTGTTACGGTCAAGGAGTTTCTAAAATTTTACCAGGCTGTAGTAAAACTAATGAGTTGTTTTTTTTAGATATTGTGTTGTATATTTCCCGCTAGGTTTGAGAAAGTCATCCCTTTATTTGACCAAATTTGGGCTAAACCATGACTCTGTTCGGTACACAGAGGAGTCTTTTCAGAGTCAATACAAGGATCCAGTCATATCATCATCCCTTTAACACAATACTTGACAACTTGTATACAGTTTTTTGCGTTTTGCTGAACATGGTATGATTCAATGTCAATTTCGATACTTTGTCCTGTCTGACCAAAGAACATTGTTTTTTAGAAGGTTTGTGTTAGAAGACGCAGCGTTGCAAAAATAAGTTGTATTGCTATGTTCTTTTAAACACAAGCATTCCTAACAAGCCATGTTCAGTATTTTCCTTTTTTTTTTTTTTACTGTCATTAAATTTAACATTCATCAGGCTAACTGAGGCCTGCACTCTGAGATGTGGGAAGGCTCACAGCATGTAAAGAATTGTTCTCAACGGAGAATGATGGACTCCAAATGGTTTGAAAATGTCCATATGACCCGTACAAGATTTATGGGCAGTTACGTTTGCATTTTCGAGATTATTGCTGAAGTCCTGCCTCCTTGTGTTGGGGTAATTCACACCATAATGCTCCACACCGGCCATAACAGACATTTGCCATATCATATAATTTTCATGGTCCCCAAACATGTTGTAGTTGTATTGGTTGATTTATCGGCTGAGCAGTAGTTTCTGGCCTGAGCTACTTTTGCTGCTTCTTTATAGGGAATCCAGCAAATTTATCACACATTAACAAACTCTTAATTAATGAACGAATTAGATCCTAAGATGTACTTGAAATTTTTGGGTCAAGTTACATGTTGGTGAAGTACCTTAAAATGGCAGCCATAAAAAGAGCCAATTAATTTCTATTGCTTTTTTACTGAACAGCTCATTTGTGAAGGGAAGTTGGGGAGGAGCGTGTTTTATTTGATAGCATTTTTGTGACTTTTGAACAACTGGGCTTTTGCAAAGTTATCAGGGACAAGTGGCTCCAGATCAAGCTACAAAGAGCAGCTTATGTAGTCTGGATGTTGAGACATTTTCCAAAGATGATGAAATTTCCAACTTTTAAATCTCGTTTTGTGTAGCATACCGGACCTGTTAGAAAATAAAAAGGGAAAACAAACTACATTTGCATGAATTAAAAAGTATTTTTTGTTTATAAAACCACCTCTATATCCTGGATACTTTTTTAAAAAACTTTTTTTAACACTTGGCTGACAGTGGAATCCCTGTTCCCTGGGGATTGTTTTGAAAAATATAGAAATGAACTCTTCTTAGTATAGACATCAATATAGAACCCAACGTTTATTTAATTGAACTGATGGAATCAAAGCACTTATATTGAAATGTTAGACAAAATGCATATTTTCTATGTTCGTTCAACTTTCAATGAGATTGTTTTAAATAGTGTGTGTTATACTTGTAATATCAAGGTTTTCTGAGAAACAAAGGGTGGGATGAAATGGGAATTGAATTAGAGTAAATGCATAACGTTTGGCATACCCTGTCATTTTCCTGAATTATAGTTCCAAATGGGGAATTTTCAGTGATATTCCTGTTTTATTAGATTGACAGACAGTCATTTACAACATACGAACCAAATAACTTACATAGTTTTTTAAATCCTCCTAAAACGCAGAGGAGCTTATTTTTGCTTATTTATGTAAACAAACGGGCAACAAACAACACAGAGAACACAGACTGACCTCTACCTTTGTCCCTCTGTCTGTCTTCCCGCAGTGGATGGTGAAGGTCAAGGCCGCATAATCCAGCGATTCCCTGAGAAAGACTGGGAGGACAGTCCGTTCCCACAAGGCGTTGAGCTGGTGAGTCAACACTAACAGTCATATTCTTGCGCACCTCAGGGGCCAGAACAAGACACCCAACCCTGTCACGGTTAGGGGTTCACATCTGCTGGCACCAAGATGGTTTACATAAGTCACCAGGGTTACAGTATTTTCATTGAGGTCTGTAAACATTTGTATGCTAATGTCACATGCACAATTTGAGGGTATGGGAATCCAAATTGGACTGAAGATTTTGGATTCCCATTTTTCAAACAGAAAAGTTGATGATCAATTTGTTTCCATTTAATTAAAGCTACTAGTTACTAGAGATGGTTTAGATGTTAGTTATAACAATCAACTTCTATACTTGTAAAAACTGCTGCTTTCCTCAGGTCATTGATATTGCCATGTAGTCAACCTTGCTGTATTTCACTCATGTCCAATAGATGATTGTAAAATCAGCTTTACTTGACTTTATAAAACGCATGTTGTCTGACCAGGAAAGAATCCTTTAATAATGCAACACTCTTGGCCTCAGTGACTGTTCAAGGATAATTATGTTGCTTAGTATAACAGTATGTTGTTGATCTGTCCTTAAAGCCCGTGGATGGCTGGTTTTGAATGCGTTCAGATCTCGTTTGACTGCATTTTATAGATTTATGGAAGCAGCTTGCCGTTGAACATTTGTAAGCGGAGGAATAAAGCACATCTTTTTGTCACTGCTAACTCTGTGAAAAATGCATTTAGAAAAAAGGAATAATACTCAATTTTTAGTATCTTAAAAAAACAAGAGAAATAAAGCCTTAATAAACTTAGAAAGGCTTTTGGAATTTTTTCTTTAAAATTTTTTTTTTTTTTACATTGCATTGAATTCTTTTGTTTTCTATTTTGAAAGTATAAACAACTATGCACAAACTAGGCTAGACAAAGAATAACCGAGGTCCCCATTTTTTATTTAATTGTCTTTGGGTCACTTTGGGGTCATTCAAAAGTTATTATAACGTTTGTATTCTTCTTTATAATGTCCTAAATATACATAGATGGATTTTTGCAGCCATAAAAATTGGACTTGGTTTGGAAAAAAATTCCTGACTTAACTTTGACATATACATTTAGTTATTACATCAAATGTCCCTTTCCAGCTAAGAGTAGTCAAAATAATACATAATTCCTTTTAATTATGAATAAAAAGAGGCTATGATTGAATTATGTCTATTGTATAATACTTCTAAATGTAATGTGTAGAAGAACAAGTTATTGAAAAAGTGTCATTTTAAAGTGTATAATTTTATAAATGTTCTAATAAACATGTATATGTTTATTACAAAATTGTTTCCCTTAAAAGATACAGAAATGGTTTCAAATCAGTCTAAACTTATACAAGTTAGCAGTATCCCATCTTCTTCCCCTTTTTATTTTCCAAAGTGACCAGGTTAATTTGGCCGCAGAGGACGAAAGGAGTCTTAAGAGATTATACAATTTTGTTTGGTTCGTTTGATTCTAAACAAGAAGCCAAATTATATCATATTGTTGAAAAGTGTGGGATATAAGGAGGAAAACTGAGAGTGAACTCCCACAATTATGCAGATCAACTTGAACCTACTTGGCCAACCCATATTGGTTCAAAGTAAACTGATCAATTTACAAATATGCAAATTGAAAATATTTCAAATATTCAGTCCAACTCAAGCCAATTAGAATCCAATTAATTATAATACAGCCACAATACAATCAGTCTAGGCCTAAAGCAGTATAACTTTGTGATTTCGGGGTCACCTGAGTCATCCTTAACTACAAGCATGTGAAGCCGACTCTTTAAGGTAGAAAGTGTCTGCCTCCTTAATGTATGCTGGCTGTTGGCTTCACAAGAGAGGAGCCTGATAACTGAAGGCTCTACCTCTCATTCTACTTTTAAAAACTCCACACACCACAAGTACACCTGCAATCTCAGAGCAAAGTTCTCAGTTATAGAAATATTTTATGAGGTCTTTAAAGATATGATGGTGCTTGACCATTAACGGTTTTATGTGAGGAGCATAATTTTAAATTAGCTTCTAAATTTAATAGGGAACCAATGCAGAACTTGAGAAATACAGTCTCTCAGAACTCTGGTTGTAGCATTTTCAATTAAGTTAAGCCTTTGGGACCCGTTTCCTGTAAATGTTTGACTAAAAGAGTGCTTTGAGTGATTATATCTGACTTTTGATGAATGCTGCCAGAAAATAGCAAAAAAACGTAACATATCAAACCACAGGTCAAGTCATCGTATAAGACAAAGAGCTTAATGGCGCTATAAATCACATCCTTATAAAAACAGTTAATGTTGACTTTTCATTTGTATGTACAACAGTGCACTTTTTAATGAACAAATAATTTACAGGAACATATGATAGCAAGCTTGATTGTGATTAGTCATTACAGCAGAACCTCTACTTACGATTGCCTAAACAAATTAAATTCAATCAAATATTCGACTCAACACCCAAAGTAAATTTCCAACACACGTCGAAGTCATTGGAAAAATATCTATACAAAAATTTTATAAAAATAAATAAGATAAGTTAGTTTAAAGTTCATGTAGTGAAAGTTGGAGTAAGTTACGGTGCTTACTGTATCTCAGTCACCAACTTTAACTCCACACCAACCATCTCCTGCATTGCCAAGCCTACACCTCCGTTCACCAATAAGTGCCAATGAAATCCCTTTTTTATTGATTATTTCTTTATCATTTATTTCTTTTTACATATGTCTTATATAATGCATTTGTTTTATTTCAATGTATAATTATCTGCAGTATTTATTGAGGAGTTATCGTAGGTTTTTGGGCTGTGGAACGAGTTATAGTATATTCTTATGGGAATATTTGCACTAACTTACGAATATTTTAACATACGAAGTAGGTCCCAGAACCAATTAAATTCGTATGTAAAGGTTCTCATGTATTATATTTCTTATTGATGCTGCTCAGTTGTACATATTATGGAGTCAGAACCTGCTTTGCAGCATGGATGTTGCTAAACTTCGTGTGAATCACCCTGAGGCAATGTGAGCCACTGATGTTTTTATAACCTGCAATGCTATTCGCATTCACATTCTTCTGCTTTAAAACCAATCATAGCATATCCTGTTCCACTCTTTTCTAGTTCTGTCAGCCCAGCGGTTGGCAACTGGCTCCCGAGTGGCAGCCAGCTTCCTTCTTCGTTGCGGTTTTGACTGACATCAACTCAGACCGTCACTACTGTGCCTGCTTTACCTTCTGGGAGGGCCTGGACAATCCACAGGTGAGTCTCATATGACCTACAACACTTCATCATGCCACTGGATATCATGCAAAACCCTGTTAATAATTTCTAAGTGTACATAGGGGTTATGTTTTAAAGAAGAGGTTTCTGTTTAGTGTGGTTTTCTAATTTGTTATTTTTCCTGTGCCCCTCTAACCTGCAGAAGTCTGAGGCCAGTGAGGCCGATGAGGCAGACGAGGAACCCTCTGTTGTCCAATCAGCTAAAGTCTTTGCCCCCAAAAGCCTGGTGCTGGTATCTCGGCTCGATTACACTGAGATGTTTAGGGTACGACACCACAAGCTTTTTTGAAAAATTAACAATATGTCAGGGTATGGGTTTTATGTAAAGTATATTATATAACAGAAATAGAGATGCTATATGTTTTTTGATACTGTAGAGTTTTTGTCCATTAAATGAGTTATATGTGGACCCCTTAAATAGTTTAGTTGATCTTTGATTTCTGTGCTTCCTCTTCATTTGAACAGAACTGTCTGGGTTTGATTCACACCATCCATGTAGATGGCCTGACTGTCCCTTTGGAAACAGTGATTGGAAATCTCCTGACTTGTATCATCCCTATTGCTGGAGGCTCTCAGGTAAAACCAAAAAGCATTTTCTTCTGCCAGTAACACCTTAACATCAACGTGAAATGGTCTTGTATTGGCATAGGTTTGAACATCAAAGACACTGGACATTTTCCTGAAATGTTCTATTTGTTTATTTCACCCATAAGCAAGAGTTGGAAACCTCACGCACATGCAGAAAAGAATCTTTCCTACCATTCCTGTCATATTTTGTACTGTAACTGCTACTTATGTCACCTCCCGCATTTGTCATTTGTGCAGCTTTGTGCAGGCAGCAAGCAGTAAATAAGAGCAAAGCATGTCACAGCCTGTCAGCATAATCTGTGTTCATCATGAACAGCCAGCTTTTAATATGTATGAGCTTAATACAGCAAAAAGGCAATAGCTTTGCTTAAAAGGTTTTGATATGTGTCCCTTTATTTTTCAAAAATGCATTTATTTTATGGATTACAGTCTCCAATTATTGGGGCAGAAATTATGCCAGCGTTCTTGTGTAGTGTTTTAGATCTCCTAACTACGAGTAGCAGTGCCATCGAGAGCCGAGTTCACTGTCCTTGCTCATTTGATCCTTGTTGTCGACTTCTGTTTTAGCAATGTGGGTTTTTCAAAGTTTTGTGAGAAAGATGCTGACTAAATCACAACAAAATCATATCAACTTTCCCAAACACTAAAAAAGAGCATTTCTTCCATTTCAAATCAGGCAAATGGTACATGTTTTTCCATGCTTGGTCATCTGACATTTGGGTTGTTCACACTTAAAACTTCAGGTAATGTCATTATATACAATAAAGATACTTTAGTATATTAAAAACGGTCTTAACTTTTGTGAAAATATTCTCCTTTCTAACAGCTTTAACTCCATCCTAATAAAATGTAACAATTTTATTAATTTTCCTTTTTTCCTCATTCACATTTGAAGAATTCTGTTTATTTATTAATTTATTTTATCATTACATAGGAAGTTCGATGTTGATTCATAATTATTGTTTTCTGATAGGGTGAACTAAGCTTTCCTATTACTTTCTCATGGTGCACATACAGTAGAAAATGTCTCTAAATGTTCTATAAACGCCAGGCGAACCCTTCTTCTTTGGTATCCAGATGTTGTAACCCATGTGTGTGATTTATGTGCACCCTACTGTACACTGGCTCCTTTGTGTTACAGATAGATGAGTCCCCAGTTTGTAGTTTAGACAAAGTTCCCCAGGCCCTGGCCTGTGACTGGCTCCTGGCCTGTCTCCAGGTAACCGTCCTGTTCTGTAAGCTTAACCAATCAACAACCAGTTTGATGTTATTGATTCTGTCAATCAAACAGACAGGCACTGTTTATGTTTTTTTTTCTTGCTATAAGGAATGTGATCCTCCATTGACTTTAATTCATGATTAATGGGCTTCAGCTATGTTTGATCTGCTTTTTTTTTGTTTTTTATATGTATTCTGTCATCAAACATTTTCCTTAGGCTCATGTCAATCATTTCAGATATTTAAGTTTCTTAGTCTCTCTGTTGTGTTTTTCACCGTTTTGTTTTGGTTAATCCCCTTTTTAAAATTGAAGCCGTGGATCTGGTTGCTGTGCAGGTCGTAGTTCAGTTGCTTGGTGAACATATGGGGCAGCAGATGGCTTCCTGCTAGGCAGTGTGGCATCTGAATGAGAGAATCAGATTTAATCAGCATTAGCACATACAGCAAAGCCAGTGCTCGCTTCCTTGCAGACTTCACTTATATGTGACAACACCATTAGTTTTTAGTTCAAATGCCAAACCTATGTTTAGTTCCATATGAAAGTGTTTATGAGTCTGACTTATCAAGAAAAAAAATGTCACAGGTTGGTCTTTCAAAAGACAGACACCAATGAACAGTAACAGACACTTACACACGTTCCTGTGAGCATTTAATCACAAAGGCCTTCCATCACTACATATTATTTAATATCACATGTTTGTTTTACATTGTACTTTGCTCAAACACACATCTTAAACACACAAACATAAAACTATTTTTCGGATACCTAATACATTTACGGTCCTTAAGAACTTCATTGGACCACCTTTTAAAAAACAAGAAATACTTTTTTTATATTTAAAAAATATAAATAAAAAAATGAAACAGCACACATAATAATCTAATCTTATGTATTTTGTTCAACCTCTTGTGACCTTGATAACACCTTAAATTATTATTTTTACAGTTTTAATCTTCTTTATGATATTTTCCAAATTGAATTCCAAATAGTTTGAGCCGTTCCCACAGATTTGCCTTGGAATAAACACTTGTGTGATCAGACTTTGGATCTCCTAAATCCCTCTTGGACTTTGGCTTGGCTCCTCCATCAGTTTCAGTATTAAGGTTGTTTCTGGATGTTTGCAGGCCTCAGCATTAATTCTTAGTAGCTTTTCTGGATGCTTTCTCAGACTGTGATTGAGGAAGCAGTCATCTCTGTCTGAAGATCAGCAGTGGTCTTCCTTCTGTCTCTGGTACTTAAAGCTTCAGTTAACTTCAGTTTCTTGCTTAGGCGTCACAGCGAGAGAGAAAACATGTATATACTAAATTAGGGTAAGTCTGAACCAAAATGTGAGTGTTTGGGCAGCTCAGAGAAGATGCAGGTAGGCGAGCAGGCAGATGGCAACCAGAGGAGAACATGGTTCGGAGATTGTGGAATCCAAACGGCATAGGGCTGGTTCTCCTTGGAAACTTGTGAACAAAGGAGCGACATAGGGAAAAAGGACTGTACTCACAGAGAGAGCAATAAGTCTTGGCAAAATCAGCACCTCCGAGAAGGAGCAGATTGACCGTCTTTTATACTGTACAGTACTGTAATATGGCAAAGATTAGTACTCCTGAAGGACCTTTTGTAGCCGGTTTTTAATGAAGGCAGATGGATAACGAGTGTGCCTGCAGGACCTGTAAAGGCCTGCTGAGCCCCACCTGAAACTCCAAATGGAGAAGAAACCAACACAATGATGACATTAATGTTTTCCCCCAGGAATTCCACAGGACTCACCCTTTGTGGAGTGGTTGAACTTCCAAATAAGGGATGGGTCCAGATTCCCTTTCTTTATCGGCAAACAGAAGCGGTTGATAACCAAAAGAAGCCTCGAAAGGGGGGATTCCTGTGGCTGATGGGACTAAGAGGTTGTAGACATATTCTGCCCATAGCAGATGTTAACTCTGTGACAAAGGGCTGTTGAAGGGAACGCGGTGGAGGGTGACATCCAACTCTAAATAAGTTTCTCTCTTTAGTTGTTGGTCTGTTGATGGTATCCAGAACGTGATGAAACCTTATCCCAAAGGGCAGGACAAAAAGACCTCAAGATATGGGACACAAACTTTGGTCCCCGGTCGGAAACTTTCTCAGATGGAAGTTCTTGTAGTCAGATGTTCTGTAAGCAGTGGTGCTTAAGGTATGTCACTTATTTAGGGGAATGAAACGTGCTGCTTTCGAAAAACGATCTGACTGTGAGGATGACAATTTTACCGGACCATGGGACCAGGGCCGACCAGGGACTCCAGACACTGCAGAGGGCCGGAGGGCGGACAGTTGCTACTTTTATTGCGGGCACAAATCTGAAGGACAGTGATGTATTTTCAGGAATTTGCTTTAACTGAGGGCCATCAGAAAAACGCCACAACAACGGTAAAGGTTCAAATTGCACTTGGATGACAGGACAATGTAGAAGCATGAACCCATTTCAAGACAGCTGCTCAGGCCATGATGGTAACCTAAGTTGTTTAACCAGGTTGGGATCAACCAAATTTGGTTAAGCACCGGAATCCCTTAAAACATGGGAATTATGTGCGTACTTTCCGAAGAACAGTGTAACCGGTTATATGAGACCAGATGGAATCTGCCACAGGGAACCACCCACCAGTAACACAGTTCTTACTGATGGACTTCGTCTTTTGGGCGCAGAGGACACAAATTTCTGAAATGAGTAAAAGACCCACATTAGATGCACAATTTATCTCAAATCTATTGCTGCCGCTGATCCCGTGATCCAAAACCATATATTTCCCCAATAAATTTGGTGAATGGGTTGGACTCGAGGGTCAAATCGGAAATAAACTAAAGCCCATTCCATCTCTTGACCAGTCAAAAAAGCTTTAACATAGGAGATTTTTGCCAGGTCGGTATCAAACTATTAAAGGGAGTTAGAACAGCTACAAACATTTCAATAAGAAAAAACCCACACTTGTTAACGTCATGGATTGGAATTTTTTGGGAAAACAACATTGCGGAATGTTGGGATGGCAGAAGTGGTCGAATTCTGGATGGTCTTGGATTTACGGTGTGTCTAGATATAATCTAACAGGGCGAGATCGGTCGTTAATTGCGGGCTGGTGTGTTGGATCTGGAAACTGGTGATGCTGTCAGGAAGGTGGCAACGACAGAGAACATGCTGAGGAGATTTTGGAATCCAACAAGAATAGGGCTGTTTTTCCTTTGGAACCCATGAACCAAGGAACAACTTGGGGACAAACCACTGTATTCACGCAGAGAAAATGAACTCTTGGCAAAGTGATACAAGTGATACAATCTAGTGGAGGATGGTACTCCTGCAGATCATTTTATTGCCATGTTTTAATGAAGGCAGATGGATAACAGGTGTACCTGCAGGGGAAACTCAGACTTTTGGCTTAGACCTGGCTGAGACTGAGACTAGGGGAAAAACAACACCAAACCTTCACAGACATGAAACAAAGCACACTTGATCACACTTTGTTTTTCCTCTTGACTTATAGACTATCCAGTGTCATTGCATTCATTCCTATAGCCTCTTTCATTTGCAGGGAGTTCTGCGTTTTAACACTTTGAATTAATTAGGATTTCAACCCAAGTTCTCCCTTATATCCCGCGTTTCAGGTAACTCACTGGGCTTCTCTGAGAAGTCAGAAATGCAATCTAAATACTTTTTGTTCGGAATGGAAGTACAAAAATGTAATCTTGAACAGGCATAAAAACGTAATTGATTAATTTATTTACAATTAAAGACTATATACATTTATATGTTTAAAAATTAAATGCCTGTAATAATCATATTTTAATATTTAATATATTTATGTTAAATGTAATTTGGGCTTAAAAGCTTTTACACACTAGTGTATTACCCATTTGATAAACTTAAAATCATATTCATTTTTGGTAGCTGCTACATTAATATTTACATTCCCTGTCATTTGTATATACAAATTGTATTCCCACATCTGCATGTTATCCTTTTAATCCTTTTCTATGTGCAAGTGTAAGAGTTTTTTTTCTGGTGTTGACAAATGTCAGTGCTAAGACTCGTCACTTTCAAAGCACTTTTTCGGAAGTGCTCGTCATAATGAGAAACTGAGCTGTTACAGGAAATTATAAAACTCATATCTAAAATAAACTGTGTTTCCAGTCCCAGATTTTTAACTCTGGCCTGTCACTCTGCCAGTTGCTCACACTGGGTGTTAGATCTTAGATAAACAAAGCAACGTCAAAAACTCAACGTCAAAATGAAAGTTGCACGTCTTTCTGCAGGAGGTCATTGGTACCGATCACAAGTGGATGCGCAATTTTCGTCTTAACTTGGTTTCTCACGTCTGTCAATGAGTTTCAGGCTGGAAGATGATTCCAGCGCAGGAACTCTGCTGCAACCAGTATCGCTTCTTGTATCTGTTACGGTTTACAAAATGTTCTTTTGTGGCCAGATGCTTTCAGTTTTGGCACTTAATACACCCAGGCTTTTTAAATTCCCATACCAGCCCTGTGCTGCAGTTACACTGATTCCAAATCCCTCCTATTACATGAAAGAGCTTCTTTAGAAACTTTTATTTGTGCAAGTAAAGGAATCTGCTTCTTTTCTCCTATGTTGCTTTGTTCATAATTTGGTAACTGAATGCCCCACGAGTTGTCCTTTTACTGTATTGCCAAATGACAGCTATTGTTTGTTTTGCATTTGTGTCTCATATCTGATGTTTCATTATCTTTTATCTTTAGTCATGGTCTTGTTCACGTTTGTAATATTAACGTTTGAGTGGTTTCTTTGTTTTTGTCATGCTTATATGTTTCGGTCACAGTCTTGTCCATTTGTTGCATTCTGAGCCCTTACTCCTATTGTTTCTAAAACTGTGTCTTGTGTATTTGCACGTCTGTGTGTTTGTGTGTGTCTCTGATGGTTGCTTGTGTAGCCGAACCTGGAGGAGAGAGAAGAGAGTTTGGTACGCCAGCTTTACTTCAACACCCCCTTTGCTGCCAATCGGCTTGCAGCTTTCTCAGCTTCCTTTTCTCCACCCATTTCCTTCTGTCAGTCTACACACACCTCCTTTGCAGGAAAACTAATCAAAATGCTTTTGTATAGACTCAATATGTGACCAACAACTGATCTTACCCGTAGCTTAGGTCTCCCACGAATACAAACTCTTGGCATTTTGCTCATCATAGTGTGTTTCTTTAGTGTAACACCAATAGCTCAGATGAGCATAGTGCATTGCATACTGGGTAATTCCTTATTACAGCGAGCAACAGGAATGTGAAAGAAGCTCAGATTTCCTTGCACAATAAAATGCATGTGTGCTGCTGTGCATTTTGCCAGTGGTCAAGCATAGTAATTTTCTTAGTGCTAATTTAACAACCTTATGAAATCCAACACGTTTTTGTTGGAGATAGAATTGGGACCACAACTGCAGACTGAATGAAACAAACCTCATGATCAGATGTTGGATCACAGCATTGAAATGCCATTTGCTCGCCTGTCTGTGGCTGCCTGCAGTCTTGCCGCTGCTGTAGAGGGCAAGAGACAATAAAACACCTTTTTCTTGCATCCACAGCTACAAGGAATAAATACGTGCCGGGCTCAGTTTATTTTCTATGGGAATTTTATTGAAGTCCTGGGAGCTAAACAATTGCTCAAACACAAAAGTATGCCCCCTTGAATTGGTGTGTTCAATAGAAATATTGAATCTACCTTCTATTCAGAGACACGGTGGCTAATAGCTTCAATGAAGGAAACAGGACTTGTCTTGACTTTTAAAGATGTTTCATCCCTCACCCTAAAGGCTTTGTTATTTCAAACCTTTTAGTTGGGAGTGTAAACCTCATGTGTGATTTGGGTCACTTTTGTAAGTAAAAGTCATTCTTACCCGTGGGTTGTTTACCTGCCTGAACAAGCATGTTTCAGTCGGAAAATCTAACATGTGAATGGTTGTGAGGAGATTAAAGACTTCACTATAGGTTTAAATAGCCTTCTACCTTAGACAACCCTTTTTCCTAAAAGCCAGGCTGTTTTTTGCAGTTTACCATAGACAGATTTCTCTGTGAAATCATCAGGGTCCTAGTGTGAAAGACCTTTCAAATAAATATAAGCCAATAATCCATTCTTACTAGTTGGGAACTAAGAACAAACTTGGAGTAAGAAGTGAAACATCGTCAAGAAAAAAAAAACTAGAAAAAACAACATCTAATTGCCCTTATTTAAGATGTTAGGATTGACACTCGTTAAAAGAGGAAGTGGATATTAAACACAATCAGAGATTTCAAAACATTGGCAATGATGAGTGCATAAACAGTTACATTTTGAAGATTGTAAATTTTGTCCCAGAGCATGTTTCAGATTGAATGATGCAAACAGAGTACCTTAGATAAACCCCCTCCCCCCCGCTGGAACTGCAGTGGAAAATTCTCAACGCATGACACCTGCCATGTCTTATTCGCCCGTCAATGCTTTTTTTCTGGTGTTGCTGGTGATTTGTGAAAAGGTCATTGGCATGGAATCCTTTGCAGAATCCTGATAAGCTGGAATGGCTTGGGTTGATTTGTCCTGTACCTGCTAAGCTTCTGGGATCTACATCACTCTCTGTCTCTGACTCACGCTGCTGTCTGGATATGCACAAAACTGATTAAACCATGCTTTCAATCTGTTTATTCTCCGAGTAACGCATCCCTCTGGATTTTTTGTCTTACCCAGTTTTCAATTATTATTTTTTCCCACTCTGCAGAGGACAATAACATTAGGTGCAGGCGACCGGCAAGTTATCCAGACCCCAATTAACGACGCCTTACCTGTAAGCGGCAGCAGTGTGGCCCAGCTCTTCAGACAGCTTGGTACGAGCATTTATTTACCATGCGTTTCCATATTTGCAAAAAAAATTAGAAAAGTATAGAAAACAATTTTTTTAATCTGTTTCGAATGGGCCTTATTTAATTATATATATATATTTTACATATTTTAATTTTATTTATTTATTTATTTATTTATTTATTTATTTATTTATTTATTTATTTATTTATCTATTTATCTATTTATTTATTTATATTAATGTATTTAATTTTTTACACTATTTTTTAAAATGAATTATCTTTATTACACTGTGTTAAATTAAGTACTTTGTTTGACTGGTTGATCGCTTAAAGTTTCAGTGTTTTTCCTCAGTAACAGCCAGTGATTGCAGGTTTTCTTTTCATTCCTTCTTCAGGCATTATCAACGTGCTGTATTTGTTTTGTGCTGCCCTTACGGAGCATAAGATCCTGTTCCTGTCAAGCAGCTATCAGAGACTAACTGATGCCTGTCGAGGGCTGCTGGCCATAATGTTTCCCCTCAAATACAGGTATAGACGTCCCCCTTAAAAGTAGTCTGTTTATATATTTTTTACACTGAAGTAAAGCTTTTTTTTTTTTGTATCTGACAGCAGTTTATTTGTGTCTTCCCAGTTTTACTTATGTTCCCATCCTGCCGGGAAAACTACTAGAGGTCCTGAGCACTCCCACCCCCTTCATCATTGGTGTCAACTCATTTTTCCGCTCGGAGACACAAGAACTGGTGGGTTTTAATTCAAGTTGGAAAAAAGATGACACTATGATTCACAAGGAAAACTAAACTCACACATTCTGTGTTTGTCATAAGAAAAAAATTCTCCTCAAGTGATTGAGGAAAGAATTAAGGAACAAAAGGGCGGTCGGTCTTCTCATTGTACAGTTGTATGCAGAGATACTTTTGGTTCAAAGTAAGCACAGTCCCTGTGGCTGACAGACATTACAAAAATCTGTTTAAATTAAAAAGATTTGCTATTTTTTCTTTGGGTGTGCCCAGACATTTGCGTACAACAGTACAGATGAAAAAGGCGACTTTACTCCGTTGTCTGTCATCGACCAGAGGCTTGTGGTCATTGTTTTTTGCTGTTCAATTCATAGTGGGTTGTTATAGTTATACTCAGAGAACAACAGTTTATGAACAGTAACTATAGGCTCTTCCTCAGTATTGTTTGTCCTGTTTTCCTGTTTTATTGTAGAGGAAAGAAGAAATGGCTGGAGTCCAGTTTTATCTTTTTACATTAAACTAATGTTTATTTGGTTTTAAAATAGCTCTGGTGCAACAACTTTTTTTCCTACATTGTAATTAGTCCAGCCAGTTGTCAAAAATATCCTTTACATATATAGTTTTAGAAAGAATTCTTAATGTTCCATGCAAAAAAGTTATTTTGGTACAAATAAGCAAACGTGATACTAACAAGGGACAGAAAGAATCGATTTTATATATAGAAACAATCCATATGACTGGACATGTTAAGATTTTTATTTCACAATAACATTTTATTTTTTTTTCGGCTGGGGAATGTTGTCTTTGGTTTATTTTTTGGAGCAAACTGTAGTTTTACAAGGCTGTTTTTTAACAACTAAGGTTTAGTTTGTTTTTGTTTTTACCTCAAAGCTTTTTGACTGAAGAACTTACATGGCAGCGGGAAGGGACCATTTTATATAGGGATAGAAAGAATAAGCTTTTTCAGTGATTTAGAACAGTATCTGTATGTATGAGAAGCACATGAAATTCATACTTTTTTCCTGAAAACAACTTTTTTAAGTTGTTTAAACGACATTGCACCTCATTCATTCTTCCCATGAGATTGTTGATACTCTCTTTTGAAGTTAAGAGATAATTTAATAACTCCATAGAGTCTTCACTCACAGGTTCTGTGTGAACGATGATAGAAATCCAATCCATGTGCAAAGACTCAGTCTGAAAGGTGAATTTTTAGTTTGACCTGAATCAGACCCTAATAAGTATGTGCTAACATATGTTTTCATTACAAGAGCTTTTATGGAAAGTTGCAGTGACCCGTAAAGCAGCTTTTCATCTTTTTTTAATAAACTGCTGCTAAACTGCCGCTAACCTTTTGAGATCCGTAAGATACTAACACAATGTTCTTTGTAAATCTTCCCCAGATAAATCATGTCAGTCAAATTTTGAACAATCTAGGTCTGAATGTCACGATCAAGAAAAATTTTTAAGCAAGTGGCTTATTAAAGCCTGTTAATAGTCTAATGAGTGTTCTTGTTTAATGTGTTTATGCAAATGTGTTTAACGTGACTGCATTGCACTGAACAGCCACTCTGATTGAGGCATTACCTGTTTTTACCACAAGAATCTGTGTTTTGTCCATCAGCCCCACCCATCCCCTGCATTAGCAATGTATGAGCAGCAACAGGGTCAGAGTCTATCATCTGGGCAGCCATTTGGTCTCTCCCCCGTCTAAAACTTTATGAATGTATGGTTATTGCATTGTGTAATGAGCATTTGGTGAAAGACAACTTTATTTGTAATCAATCCCAGAAGAAGATATATATGTGTATTCCTTTTTTTTTAGTTGGATGTAATTATTGCTGACCTGGACGGAGGCACCGTTACCATCCCTGAATGTGTCCACATATCCTTGCTGCCTGAACCTGTACTCCAGCAGACCCAGACAGCACTCTCCATGGTAAGAGCCACACAGACCCAGATTGCTTACACACACCTCTAACAATCTCATCTTGTTGTAAGTGGTTTCCAATAAACAAGAAAGATCTTAATATATCAATTTTCCTTTTACATCTTCAAATTGAGTCGTTCGGTTTAAGACATGTTGTTGGTTTACATTCTCAGTCATTCAGGTCATGGTAGTTGTAAGACCTTAATTAAAGGCCACTGCACTTTTTAGGGATATTGAACACCTTTCAACTCTAAACTAAAAAGCTTCTTGATTTCTTAACTACAAGATGGGAAATATTTGCTAGTTTGGAAGAGAAGAGGCCTATTGGCAGGTCTTCAAGATACAAGAAAGTCAGTTATCTTTAATCAAGCTCTTAAGATTTAAGACATTTTGTTTTTGCCTTTTCTAGCAAGTGAATATTTTGTATAACTTTTAACTTGTTCAAACGAACAAAATAAATCGATTAAGGTTTGTAGTGTTTTGTATCCGTTTGAAAGTTTCTTCTATGTGAGCTGTTACTGACATTTCGTTTGACTTTATGATCCTGTCATTATCAAACTTTAAGTTGTTTTGTTTTTTTATGCGGTTCTTTTCATGCAGAGCTTTGTTATTATCATATATCATCAAACGCCTTAGTGAACTCCCTCTCTGTTTCATCCTCTTCTGAGAAATGTTTTTATCACCTGAGTACATAACCAAATAATTTCCTTATTCTCTCGATATCTTAAGAATGGCTGGCACTGTATACTGTGCTTCTATTTCATAACAGTGCTGTTTCCTAACAAGTATTTCAGGTATGTGCAATATAAAGTGAAGTGTAGCGGGAAGTAGATGCCAATTTGTCACAAATTTCCCAGATCTACTACGCTACTTAGTGCTTTATGATCTCTGTCATGTGTAAAAACAAACTGTAAAGTTACAGAGAGGTCTAGACATCGGTCACGTTTGCTTGATTATTCACTCTACACGCCTAAAAGGTAATTTGCATTCCACTCTCCCAGCTTATGTGTTGCACACTTGTGTAAACAGAGTACTGGGCAAACTCTTAAGGGTGTAACTTTTGACTAACATTAAGGACTTTTTATAGAATCATATACCAGTCATAAACATAATCACACCGTTATAACATCCTTGGTGTTGTTCCAACGTTGAGAAGCAGATGAATTGATTTTTAGCACCAATAACACCAAAAACATTAAGACCAAAATTGCACACTGCCAGAATTCTGCTCTTTCTCAGTTTGATTCTGTTTACTTCGCATAAGAATAGTATGTTTCAGCATAAGACAAAAAGATGGATGAAATGATGCTTACACAGTATATGACTTTTCAGTGATTAAAATGGATCTCTCTGGCCATTTTTGTGTGAGAATTACTTTTTTAATCTAGATGTTTCAGATTGTAGCAGAGACATTAAAAAGTTTCACATTGTTGCGTTTAATCACATTTTTTGGCATACAAAAGTTCTGCCAATAAATAAAACCCACATTTATTTATTATTTGACTTTATTGTAGAGTGTTTAATAAATTTATTAGACTACCACCCAACACAAGGTTTATGCCATAATATAACCCTTATGTAACAAATGTTAACATAAGCAGATGTCAGACACTTCAAGATTTTAAGTATCGGAGCAATACTGCTGATCTAATGTAAGCTTTTATCAGGAGCAAAGGAGGACAAACTATTTAGTTGTTTCACTTTGTTTTCTAATAGGAAGTCTTATGAAAAATATATGCCTAATTCTTTTTTTTATTGTATATCTACAATTATACCTCTACTATATTACTATTATGGCATTTGGAGTGGGCCACCGGATTAGAAAAATTCTGTTGAAATTCACTAATTTCCCAATAATTCCACTTGGTTAGTTGTGGGGAATAGTTTATAGTTTAGTGTTCGCCTCTAAAGTAGTTTTCGTTTACTTGGGTTGTGATTGCAGTCACATGTCAAATGTGATGATTAACTTAACGTGATTGTTGTCTTTGTGCAAATAAAAAAAGAGCCTATAAAATATTAACAAACTTGGAGAAAGTCAAACAGTTTTCCCTCTCTGTCTTGTGAAGGATGGATTTTTTTTAGCTGTCACTATTTTACTGAGGCACAGGGTAGGATATGTTTATTTGGGAGAAGCTGAAGTTTGCATTCTCAACTCAGATTTGTATTTGGTGTTGTGAAAGTCCAGATTTTCCCATGGACTCCCTCAGTATTTATTGAAATTCATGTTGAGATTTTTTTTAAATACGCTTAATTTTTATTTATTTAAGAGTTTTGGAATACACGAATAAACATTGAATACTAAAGTGTACAGACCACACAAAAATACATCCTCTACATAACTTTAAACCAAATGACTATAAGGTGTTCTCCAATTCCAACCTGAATTTTTCGTGGCGCACATTGGTGCATTAAAAGCTAGCAAAAAACTACATGTGAGAAACATTTTTATATAGCTATACCAACCAGCAAATGTTTTATAATACTGTGCGTGATAGCTGGAGTCTTCTATTTAGGCTGTTTGTTAATCTATGTTCATATCCAGGTATTTCCTATCATCTGTTACACATATTGATATATTACATAATATCCAGTTTAAATTTTTCCTATATAGTATTCAGTATTTATAAATTAAATGAGACCTGAATAGCATTAACCCAACAGTGAATTTAAATTTTAAATGAAATATCTATTACACTTGATCTGCAAGGTAGAAGATTATTTTATTCAACTAATAATATCGTAAACTTTTGAATAGTATCGTAGACCTTTGAACAATCCAGTCACATTTAAGGGCCACACATAATTCATTTTCTGAAATATAAGAGTAGAAAATTGCAATCTACCAGTAAACACAACATAATGGTTCTTTCATACACCACAGAGTGTGTGAACGACCAATGTACCTGCTTTTTTTCTCTATCATACACTATATATATATATATATATGTATATATATATGCATATGTGTATACATATATGTATATATGTGTGTGTGTGTGTGTGTTTTTTTCTCACGAAGAAGTAACAATAGACTGAACTCAATAAATACAGAACTCACTATTTTATGTCGTCACGTTCTAGGGAAACCAGTTTCTGTGTTAAAGTATCTACAAACAGGACGCTGAACTCGGACCCACTGACTTAGGTCATCTGCTAAATTCCTAAGATATCAACGTTTTGAATCTTAAAAAAAAAAGTTATTGTGAAATTTTTGGGTTCATTCTGCTTGTTTTTGTCCCGTTTTCAGGGACTGCCCTGTGTGTTTTATGACTTGTAACCTGCATACTGTTGTTGATTGTGGTGCTTGATCTTTATCAGTAGGTCAAAGAGGATTTCATTGCATTACAGGCCTTTGTCTTCAACTAACAGATTTCCTGTATAGTCATAATATCATTCAAAGTGTACACACATGAATTCTCTTTTTAACCAATCTGGTGCACTTACAGTGAGGAAAATAACTATTTACACCCTGCGACTTTGCAAGTTTTTCCACTTCGAAATTATGGATGGATCTAAACATAAACAAAAAAAACGGAAATCACAATGTATGATTTTTATTTAATAATATGTTTCTGTGTTACTGCTGAAAATAAGTATTTGACACCTGAAAATCAGCAAAAAATTCTGGGCCTCATAGACCTGTTAGTCCACCTCTGAAAAAAAGTCCACCTCCAGTTATTAATATTTGAAATTAGAGGCACCTGTTTAAGGTTGCTAGCTGCATAAAGACACCTGTCTAAACCACACAATGAGTAAGACTCTAACTAATAACATGGCTGAGACCAAAGACCACCAAAGACACCAGAGACAAAATTGTAAAAACTCCACAAGGCTGGAAAGGACTATAAAGCAATTGCCAGGTAGCTTGGTGAAAAACGTTCAACTGTTAAAGCAATTATTAGAAAAAGGAAGAAGCTAAACAACAACTCCATTGCACTGGGGCTTCATGCAAGATCCCGCCCTGTGGTGTATCTATGATCCTAAGAAAGGTGAGGAATCAGCCCAGAATTACCCAGGAGGAGCTTGTCAATTGCCTCAAGAGAGCTGTCACCACGGTTTCCAAGGTTACTCTGGTACACTAAAACATCATAGTTTAAAGTCAAGCATGGCAGAGAAGTTTCCCCTGCTTAAATCAGCACATGTCCAGGCCCATCTTAAGTTTCTTCATGAATATTTTGATGATCCAGAGGAGTCATTGGAGAAAGTTCTGTAATCAGTTGAGACCAAAATTTAACTTTATGGTCTTAATTCCACTTGCAGTGTGTGGAAAACAAAGAATGATGAGTACCATCCCAAAAACCCCATCCCCACTGTGAAGCATGCGGGTGGAAGCATCATGCTTTGGGAGTTTTTTATGCACATGGGACAGGACGACTGCACCGTATTGAGGAGAGGATGACCCGTGTCATGTATTGCGAGATTTTGGGGAACAACCTCCTTACCTCAGTTAGAGCATTGAAGATGGGTCGTGGCTGGATCTTTCCACATGACATTGACCCAAAGTACACAGCCAGGATAACCAAGGAGTGGCTCCATAAGAAGCATGTCAAGGTTCTGGATTGCCCTAGGCAGTCTCCAGACTGTGATGTTTAAATACTTTTTTTTTCTCACTGTATGCCACTAGTTTTTGGGTTTTAGTTTTCTGTCTCCAACTCTTAAGATTGGTCATAGAGCTTTGTGCAGCCATGTAAACAGAAATTGGGACACAAGTGTTCTTAGATATTCTCAAGATGTTAGAGAAAACATAGCTCACACTAGTACATTCACTGCTATACACAGAAAAATGATTGAAAAATACACAATTTTATGTTTGATTCTCAGACATTTACATTTCATTTTTCTGTATTTTGAGCACAGGTCATAGTCACTGCAGATAGGGAGGGAGTTACCAGCAGGTCTTTTTAAAAAGCAGTTGTAATATGAAATCAAATAGTTAATTAATGAATTAATAATCCAGTAAACCACTAATGATAACCTTTGTATGTCAGAATTATTATTTTATTATTATTATTTTATATGACTGTATGTTTTTTTTAATATATGCTAACAGAAGAGGTGTAGTGAAAATACAAAAAAACACCACAGAAATGTCCAGTGTAAACATGAGATTTCACAGGACAGAAAAAAATTGTGGTACAGATTATGAAATACACCCATGGGAATATCTTGTTCGTTACTTGTGTAATCCCCAGACAGCCGCTTTTAAACTGTACAACAGTGAGTATATTGAATACACATATTTTCTTTTGGAATTTTTTTTTTTATCCGAGACTTCCTCTGGACTTGACTCACACTTGCAGCAGGAAGCAGGCGAGCAGAGAGATAGGGTCACTCCTGATTTATGATGGCTTTGTGTTCTCGCTGTCATAGGTTTTGGATCCAGAGTTGGAGTTTGCTGATCATGCCTTCCCTCCACAGTCCCTGCAACCCTCTGCACTCAAAATCCAGGCAAGGAAGATGTACATACTAGTAGAATTTTAGGTTTGCATAATGTGTATTATTTGTAACTCAGTTTCCTCCTAATGCTTTATTCAAGGGTGACTCATTTCATTTCAGTCCAGCAATTCACCATCTTTGGAATATTCTAGTTACTCTAAAACCACTATTTTTGTTTCAGGATAAGGAGATCCGAGCAGTCTTCCTATGGCTGTTTGCACGGCTTTTCCAGGGCTACCGTTGGTGTTTACACATAATACGCATTCATCCAGAACCTGTGATCCGCTTCCATAAGGTTTGTAAATAAACTTCTTGTAAAATAGGGCTTGAGTATACTTGTCTTTTTAAGATCAAGATAAAGTTGAGTGTTGGATGACTTTTTTCTTTCTTTCAAATATGTCACCACAGGCAGCCTTCCTGGGTCAGAGGGCGCTGACGGAGGACGACTTCCTCATGAAGGTGTTAGATGGCATGGCATTTGCAGGTTTTGTGTCAGAGAGGGGTCCTCCCTACAGAGCCACTGACCTGTTTGACGATGTGAGTCTTTGAATAGAGAATTAACCATTGATAATTAAATTTACCATTGAAATAGTAAAGCAGTTATTCAGACCCCTACAATTTGGATATAATGTACGGAAAAGTATGAATACTGGTGTCCATGTTTGACTGTTCCACTGATATACAAAGGGCTGATTCCATTTTTTTGGGAATCAATTAACTTTGCATTAACCTTAAAGTAAAATCTAGTTAATATCTTAGAATCTGGTAGAGTTTGAAGTAATAATAGTTTACTTATGTGTAGGATGTGTTGAAATTTACTCTTACCAAACAAATTTTTTCACGACTAAAATGTTTAGAGGCAGATTTTTGTTTTTCAATCAAACATTGAAAATCTTTTTCTTAGTGTTGAACTGCAGAGCATGAGCAGTTGATCTCATGCTGATAGATTCTCAATTGAATGATTAGTGGAAAATTTCAAACAAAAGTGAATAATAATATATATGAGTAATCAATCGATTCTTGTTTCTCATTTTTCTCAAATCTTTTAAATATTTAGTCTATGAAATACATGATTTTGATGCATTTCTCCCAAAAAATCTAAGAGGGAATTGCACATTTTTTGGGAAAATAATAAAACAAGGATCTCTAATCTCTTCACACTTACTATCAATCCAGTCACAATTATCAATTGGGAAATGAACAGAATTATCATTGGAGCTTCACGTGTAATGTGGTACTTACATCTTTGACATACTCATATATGAAATCACTTCACTTTATCCTGTTTTCCCAGCTGGTAGCCAATCAGGTGGAGCGGATACGTCAGGAAGAGACATGTCCGCATAAAGTCATGAGCCATGTCAAGGAGCTGGCCGAGCAGCTATTCAAAAACGTATGTTCTCTGACAAATTTAGTATATATTGTAAAATGTATCCAGCTTCCTCTTTTCATTGCGTCACACATTTGTCCTGTTGTTTCTCATGGCTTTTAATCCCTCCAGGAGAATCCTTACCCTGCTGTGGCCATGCACAAAGTCCAGCGACCATCAGAAAACAACCAGAACTCTGCACAGAATCAGACGCTTTTCCCTGTTGTGGATGATGTCGCGGTACAGCTTTTCATCGATCATGCCGCTTCCAAGCTGAAGAGTGCTCCTCCCGTGGTGAAGGTGGAGGTCAAGAGCATGGTGCCATCTGGACCACCGCTAGGTGAGCTACAGAAGGCAGTCAGAAAATAGACTTGTTCGCTTTTTAAAAGCCAAAACCTTACAACACAAAGAATGTAATCTCTAGGTAGTGTAAAAATCAAATCAAATTGAAGCCAAATAGGATATTATTTTATTCTGAATTTACACAGAGCCAACGAACACAAGCTAAAACTGAAAAGATATTATCTCTCCGTCAAGTCTATGTCGGAACTAAGACAGCATTTGGGCTTAACTGGTGGCTTAACTGGTGACAATAAGGAGAGATTCTTCCTATTTTATTATTCTGACTTTTTATGAGCGATGAGGGAGAGATTCTAGTAAAAAAAAATTTGAACAAAGACATAGAATAGAAAATCCATTTATCGTGCTTATCCATCTGCTACAGGATGATTGTGTTTTATTCTGAAATGATGAATTCCAAAACAGTGTGCAAACAGTGATTGAACAGAGGGTTGACAACTATTGTTTAAAAAGCTCAGTATCTCACGTTTGTCCTCAAAATTCAGGGAGAACTTTTTGCTTCTCCCTGTCTCACAGCGTGTGTTTAATGAGGACAAATCCGGAGTGACGGTGATGAATTAGCCTCTGATACCTTTTTTTAATCTCCACAGGAGACATTGTGGACAAGAATTGCAACGTGATGGCTAATAGTGCTCGTAGGCTAGAAGTGGTCAGGAACTGCATCACATACATCTTTGAGAACAAAATGTTAGAGGCCAAGAAGGTAAGTCATTTTTTAAGCCTTAAAACAGATGCATGCTTTTGAAATAGACTAGCTATTTTACAATAATATATATATTTTTAACTTGTTTTACACTTTTGCTTGCTAATTTAGCTTGTTTTTATGAAATTTGTTTTTGTTTTTGCTCTGTTCTGTGCCCAGCTAATGCCAGCTGTACTGCGGGCGTTGAAAGGACGGGCAGCCCGGGTTTGTTTGACACATGAGCTCAATCAGCATGTCCTACAGAATCGAGCTGTCCTGGATGACCAGCAGTTTGACTACATTGTTCGCATGATGAACTGCACCTTACAAGTAAGCCTGCAAATTCTAGCAGACATTGTAATATCAGTGCTAAAACCTTTAAAGTGTAATTAAGAGGGTTTTACATATCTTTTCTTTTTATTATAAAGATATATTTTTTGTCTTTTTTTAATCTATTTTTGCAAGAAACAATTGTTTAATAGTCATTTTTATAACTGCATTGTCAGATACTCAGGAGTTCAGAATTATTTAACTAATCAATGATGTTTATGGCTCATTTATCTCACATAAGGATTGTTCACATATGGATGAGCATGGCATCGCAGCCGCACTTCTTCCACTTGTCACAGCCTTCTGCCGAGTAAGTTTCTAAAAATTGGTAAAAGTCAGTTGTTTTTTTTTTGCAGTATGATAAATCACTTAAGTCTAAGAAATTTAAGGTGATAGTTTTTCACTAATGGGTGTGTCTTGAAATGATTAAAGCATCTTATCCCCCAAAAAAACCTTACTTTGTCTTTTTCCGAAAGAAACTGGGTGCAGGCATCACCCAGTTTGCCTATAGCTGTGTACAGGAGCACATGGTGTGGACTAACATGCAGTTTTGGGAGGCCATGTTCTACAGTGATGTCCAAAACCACATCAAGGCTCTCTATTTGGAAACAGAGGATGGAGATCAGCAGGGCAACTCGGTGAGCCCCATCAAAGCATTCACTATTTGAGTGAAAATTTGAAGTAGCCAGTCATATGTTGTGGATACGGTCGCATTTGCATCAGAATAGTTTACTATAGTTTTGTTTTTGGCCTGGAACAGCTGGACGAATCTGGAGACAGAAAGGAAATTGGTGCCCTGGAGCTCGCGTCAGAGCAGAACCGGCTGTGGCCGACGCTCAGCAAGGAAATGCAGATGGAGCGCGTGCAGAAGGAGGAGAGTACTGTGTTCAGCCAGGCCATCCACTATGCCAACAGGATGAGCTACCTGCTGCTGCCGCTGGATACCAGCAAGAACCGGCTGCTGAGGAGCTCAGGGCTTGGGGATGTAGAAAGTGTTAGCAACAGCTATGTCACAAACAGGTAAAGAGAGTGAAACGGCGTCGAACAATCTGCTGGTGTATTCGTAAATGGATGTGTAATATATCCCTTTTAAACTGTGTCAGCTATTTTGTGTGTAACTTTTGGGCAATCCGAACACTGCACACAAACGTAAACACACAAACATTAAAATTTTACACACAGATAATTTAACCTGAACCTCAAAAATGTGTTTACTTTGTGTTCAACAAGGCTCCTGCAGACACACCTCTTTAACTATGTTCGCATGCATTGTATTAAACACGGACCAATGTATATTAACACTCAGATTAGTTTTAACATGTAGGACATATAGATTTTGTGAGACTCTATTTAGGAGCCGACTTTCTCAGCGAAGCCATTCTTGAACTAGATAAAAACAAATGCTGTTTTTTATTTAAGAAACATTTATGTCAAAGCAGGGTTCCCTCTGTCTTGCAGTATTGCAGGCAGCATGGCAGAGAGCTATGACACAGAGAGTGGCTTCGAAGATGCAGAGAGCTCCGACGTGGCCAACTCCGTGGTGCGCTTCATAAACCGCTTTGTAGACAAAGTCTGTAACGAGAGCGGCGTGACAAACGAGCACCTGAAAGCCCTCCACTCCATGATACCAGGTATGGCACCACAGCTTCTGATCTCTATTTGCACCATTAAGGAGCATCACGCCAAACATTACAGGGAAAAATATGTCGTTGCAGATATTGTCCAGATGCACATTGAGACATTGGACGCAGTCCACAGAGAGAGTAAAAGGCTGCCTCCGATCCAAAAGGTAACCAATTCCTATTTTTACGTCCCACTGGACAAAGGCCATGCAGAACCCCAGCCAGCCCCGCCCACTCCCCTCTCTACCAATCCCTTCAGCTTACAGAGTCACGGCAGGTATGTCTGTCCCCTAGAGACAGAACGGTGTGACTCACAGCACGCCAGAGCAGTGCATGCTGGGTGTCTGCTCTCCGTCATGCTGTTTGATCTCTGATGAGGCTGTAGAAGCTCAGTCTGACTCCTGTAGCTCTCCATGGTCCTCCAGAGCCGTGTGCCTCCAGTCTGAAGGGTGCCGTTTGTCCTGCACGCAGCATGTTGGAGTGGGACAGTGGCTAAGCTGAGCTTGATGTGATTCGTTTTTGGTTTTCTTCTAACACATATGGCCATTCCCACAATACGAGAAGGGTCCTCTTGAAATATCTTTCTTTCGGAAAGATTAATTTGCTTTTTCAAAATCATCCAGCTGCTGGGGTCCCTGTAGTTATGTGCCTTAGAAGGGAAATTCTTCTTTAATTCCACAATGCCTGAATGAGTGCTTATGTGTGGCATTAGCTGTTTTGCAACATATTATCAAACCGATAAACAAAGTTGTATTTTACTTCCTTTTGGAGGAAGTGAACTACTTGGGACAGGAAGTGATGCAAATTCACCTATCATAGCGGGCCAAACCCTTGACCCGATGGGTCCTGTAAGCAAGCTCTGTGGTACAGGAAATCCTCACAATGACATATCTTGTATATTTTAAGAAGTACATGTACTTTACATGACTTAAGCATCAACAAGAGCATGGTTGTGTATAAGGCTGACATTTGCAGTGACAGTGTGACGTGGCTCTTCATCTATACTGCACAGTTAGACATTAGTAGTGCTTTAGTTACTTCATCTCAAAATTAATACAGTATTTAAAACACTATGAATTTTACCTGCAATATATATTGTCTAAATATATTAATATAGATACTCTCTGAATATATGTTGGATATAATTGCTCATGATGGTATAGCAATGGTCATTATGCAGCCTGCGTGGTATTGTTTGAGCAAAAAAATGACCAGTGCAGTTTCTATCGGTGGTCTAAGTCAGCTTGATTCAATTTTAGATTTATTCTTTATAGTTTTACTTTAAGACACTCTCTCCCCCTTTGTTTAATTTATAATCTGCCCTTACACTTCTCTTCTTTTTTAATCCATCCAGCCCAAGCTGCTGAGGCCAACTCTCCTGCCTGGCGAGGAGCTGGTGATGGACGGCATGCGAGTCCACCTGATTCCAGATGGCCGTGAGGAGGCAACGGGCCTAATGGGCGGTCCACCTCTTCTTCCTGCCGAAGGCGCCATCTTCCTGACAACTTATCGCCTTATCTTCAAGGGCACACCTACTGACCCACTGGGTGAGTGATGATACGTGAAAAAAAGGGCAAACACTTTAAAAGTCAGCGGAATTTTGCCTTATGACTATTTGTGATTTGTATCTTCTGAAGTGGGAGAGCAGGTTGTTACTCGCTCCTTCCCTATTGCATCTCTAACCAAGGAGAAAAGAATTTCAGTCTCCTTAACCATGGACCAGTATGTCCAAGAGGGTCTCCAACTAAGATCATGCACCTTCCAAGTAAACCTCATTCCACATATTGACCACTCATAATACTCAAATCTTGAATTCTAGTATGACAACGTGTAATTGTCCTCTCTGCAGTTAATGAAGATTGCATTTGATGAGGAGGTTGCGTCAGACCTAGCTGAAGTTTTCAGGAAGCACCTGCATAAGTTGCGTTACCCTCAGCACGTCCAGGGTACCTTTGCTTTCACTGTGGGTCAGTCTGGAAAACTGGTGGTGGAACACAAAACGAAGGACAAAAACCAGTCGCTAAAGTAAGAAATGTTCAAGCACATAAAATTGAATTTTCTGTTTTCCTGACAGGGTGATGATGCAAACACATTTATGATTAAGGTACCTACTTGTATTCTCCAAAATAGGCGGGACCTTTTCAGAAATTCTGGAAAAAGTTGCCGTGTTAATTACCCCAGTGTGGCAGAAATCTTGCCCCAAGAATTTCGGTCGATTGTTTAGCATAGCAAGCTCTAAAGCTTTCAAAGCATAAATGTGTTTAATTGTTTCTCTATAGCTAATCTCTCCTCAGTTTTCTAATTCAGAAAGAGCTTTATGGTAAGCTTTCATGAATGTTAAGCTCGCTTAAATGTTATTTTGATATTAAGTTTGTTGTTAAAGGGCTGCCGGTCCATAGCAAGACCCCTTCATTCTTATTCTCTAACTTCTAGCATCTCCCTTGAATTCTTTTTAGTTTTTTCCTCCTCATTCTCATTAGCATTTAAGTCACTCAACCCCACACACACACTCCCTCTCTGACACACATACTTTCCGCTGTCTGTTGTTGAGAATATAAAAAGTTTAAGAGAACCGTCTGAATTATTCATCAGCGGAAAATGTAGAAGCTGTTTTATTGCCTTTGTTTTTTCCATTTATACAATGTGAGCATGTGTTCATGCATCGTTCAAACATGGTAATTCTGACTGAGGCACAGTAAAACACAAGTGAGTTAAGGTCTGCTGGTTATTCTGAGTTAAACTGTGGCTGGAATGAATTTATCAGCTGCTTCACATCTAGATGCGCATTTCAATTCAAGTCAATTCAGTTTGAGTTATTTAGCAACAAATCACAACAAATGTCATCTCGGGACACAAGATGCAGTCCATCAAGCTAATTAAACACTATTCATTATAATACAATCATAATATGATAAGTCGCAGTTATCTCAATTTCCAGTTGAGCTCAATGAATACAGAGTCAGTTTAAAAAAGAAGATAAAAAGAGAAGAAGCACAAGTTAATAACACTGCAGATGTATGTGGAGGAAAAGATCAAAGGAGAACATAGTGAGAAGTGCATCATTGGAGGTTCCCCAGCAGTCTACGTCTGCACCAACATAATATAGGGGATGTTTCATGGTCACCTCAGCCATCCCTAACTATAATATTTGATAAAAAGGACATTTTTAAGCACTTACTTAAATTAAATAAAGACACAGGCATATTCTGACAGCTGGTTCTATAAGGAGGGGCCTGATAAGTAAATGATCTATTTAGAAATGCCAAGAACCTTAACTAATCCTGTAGTCTGCAATAGGGACCTTGGAAAAAGAGGAAAAGCTAATCATATCGCTTTATTGATTTTTAAGACAAAGTGCTGTATTTTAAGACGTTTTTATTACTGCCTTCTGCAGAACACTTTCCAAAAACCTGGTAAAGACTGCTAAGAGGACCATTGGTCGGCAGTATGTGACAAGGAAGAAGTATTCTCCGCCCACTTGGGAGAACAGAGGCAGCTTCCAGTCGGAGTTGGATGAGGATGAAATCTCAGGTACTGTGAAATAAACCCCTTGAAGTATTTTATAAGTGGTTTGGGGTTTAGTTTGAATGAACTTTTTGTGTAATTTAATAACTTTATCTGAGAATCTTAATGTGTATCTTCACAGTCTCGGAGGAAGTGGATCAGAGCTCCCTCACCCTCTCTTCCACCATGCGCTCCTCAGACAGACAAACAATGAGCAACGTTGTGGAGCGTGCCTGCTGCCGCGACTACCAGCGTCTGGGTCTTGGCACGCTCAGTAATAGCCTGACCCGGTCGAAGAACGAGCCCTTCAGAATTTCCACTGCGAACCGCATGTACACTGTCTGCAGAAGGTAAGAATGTACCAAAACACTTTGCAAAAACCTGGTAAAGACTGCTAAGAGGACCATTGATCCCAAAACATCTGAGGTGTGTTGTAAACACTGTGTGCTGATGTTACAGCTACCCTGGCCTGCTGATCGTCCCTCAGAACATCCCAGACTCAACCATCCATCGAATTTGCCGCTGCTACAGACAGAATCGTTTCCCCGTGGTGTGCTGGAGGAATTCTCGGACCAAAGCTGTGTTGCTGCGCTCAGCGGGCCTGCACGCAAAGGGGGTGGTGGGCTTCTTCAAGTCCCCCAACGCACCCACTTCAGGTAGAAAATGGCTCTATAAAAGGCTCTATAAGATTGGGAATGTGACTGACACGCCAGTTAGCTGAAGTACACTTGTGTTTTGCAGTGCCGTCTCAGGCAGACTCAACCAGTTTGGAACAAGAAAAGTACCTACAGGCCATCATCAGCTCCATGCCGTCTTACAGTGAGAGCAGTGGCAGGAACACTTTGAGTGGTTTCACGTCCACACATATGAATACCTCTGGTGAGTGGACAAATGAACATGTGAAGAGGACGTGTGGGGGTTAGAAAAGATATTCATCGATCCCCTAGATCTCTGAGATCATACCACTAAAGGTCTCTTCATGTCCAGACTCGTCCGATAAGTTGAGAAACCCCAAGATAGGAGCGCTGATGAAGCAGGTGATGGGCTCCAAGGAGGATGTTCCTGGAACCTTCAGCAGAGGAGGTAAGATTCAGCTGTGTCTCCTGAAGCTTCAAGTGGTCAATCACTAAAAAAATTTGTCAAAGAAACTGGGTTTTTGGGAAGGAGGAAGATGGGGACCCTTGTAGGATCGGTATGTGTGGGTCAGTGAGTGAAACCATCCTCCAATGTGTTGTTGGTTAATTGGCCATCTTTGTCATTTGACCTCAGCTGTTGGTCAAAGGGCCAAAGTCATCTCCCATTCTCAGCCCAAAGTGTCTGGCAAGGCCAGGAACCCTGCTAGAGGTACAGTAGGCCCGGCCCCTACATCCTTCTGTCTCTGATTTCTAACCAATCTGATCTCTATAACAGTAGTGTCAGTGTGTTTTGCGTCATCCCTGGAAATGTTCTCTCTCTGCGAACTAATGGTTTGTTGTCGCTGCTTTTGTGTATCACTCGGTGCATGCTGCTGCTGCAGCCGTGCTGTCTGATGTTTTGTTTGTCATTTAATTGTTTGATTGTTTTCACCAATCATCATGTTGTACCAGTGTCTCAGATGATGTGGACAAAAAGGTTCCTGTAATTTTTGCTTGTGTACCTGCATGGCTGCCAGCAGCTATGGATGTTAAACCAATCAGCGTGCTTAAACAGAATTCAGGTCCAGATGGTCTAGAATGATCCTTTCATGGCAGATTCAGAGGATTATTTTTTATTGCAAATGCGCCCCCTTTAAAATTCCGCTACGTGTCTGTCTGTGTTGGCAGGTAAATGGGGCAGCATCCGGGGCAGTGGGCGTCTAAGTGCCTACAATCCAGATGTGGGGACTCGTCTGGCTGGGAAGGAGTCTCCGCAGCCCAATGGCGGACCTACTGAGGTGCTCTTCCTCCGCCAGCAGAGGGCCTACCTCTACATCATCGGGGACAAGGCCCAGCTCAAGGTGACCAAACACATATTGAAAAAATCATGTTCCGATGGCAAATCAAGACCAAACAGGAACTATATAACCAGAGATACACATCAACAAGACTTTGATGCTTAAGTAAATCACACAATGGAGCAAATCTTTCCTAGAAATTACTGTCCATGTTTGGACTTTGAATGAGCAACTGTATTCTGGTTATGGTTAAAAACCATCTCTCATCAGCTAATTCAGCCCCCTCTATCTTGTGCTCATATGTCAAACCCGAGACCACATAAGGTTTGCAAGGTAATTTAATGTATTTATTGATAATGACTCGTATTTCCCAGCACTCACACTAAATGCACACTGCAACAGACACAGCGCTTGTCAAATCTCTGTGTTGCAAATGCAGCTCTAATTAGCGTTTACCACAACAAGGCAGTGGTGCACTCTTGCCCGTAAACTAGCTCCCACAATAAAAAAGGCTGGGCTCGAATAAAGGGTGAGGATCTCAGCCATCCAAAAAGAAGTTCTTCTTCTTTCGCGTCCATAGATGGATTTAATCTATGAAATAAATTCTAAATGTTTTGATAGTAAGAAATGGGACAGTCAGATCATCCGGTGTGAAATCAACTTGTTACGTTTTGGTTTGTTCAGGGAGGAAAACAGGACTCGTTCCAGCAGTGGGAGGTGGTCCCCATCGAGGTGTGCGATGTGCGGCAAGTGAAGAACAGCTTCAAGAAACTGATGAAAGCCTGTGTGCCAAGCTCTTCGAGCACGGAGCCCAACATGAGCTTCCTGCGCTGCCTAGAAGACTCAGAGTGGATGACCCTGGTCAGCATTTGTTTGGTTTCACGAAACGGTTCACATTTCTTCTATCTGCTGCAATTCGCAGCATTCTCTGACATCGAACGGCTGTGCTTTTGTGTGTTTTTGTCCGGATGTACATGTCCAGCTGCACAGGGTGCTGCAGGTGTCCGTGTTGGTGGTAGAGCTTCTTGACACCGGCTCATCGGTCATGGTCAGCCTGGAAGATGGCTGGGACGTCACCACACAGGTATGACCAAGAGGAACAGAATTGGTTTTCGCCACCTTTTGGAGAACAAAACTTTGAAGGGCGATGTTTATGTGACACCGGTGCGTTCGCCTGCAGGTTGTGTCCTTGGTGCAGCTGCTGTCGGATCCCTATTACAGAACCTTTGACGGTTTTCGGCTGCTGGTGGAGAAGGAATGGCTGTCGTTCGGTCACAGGTTCAGCCACCGTGGAGCTCAAACGCTGGGAAGCCAGAGCAGCGGCTTCACCCCTGTTTTCCTCCAGTTCCTCGACTGTGTTCATCAGGTACGTCGGGTCTATTATTTGGAATTACATGTCTTTTTTTGTGCTCTTTTTAAGAGTTGGAAGAGTTTAAAAAACATTCAATGGGTCTAAACACACCCCGTTACTCTAATAGTCAAGGGCATCAGTCATAAGGAAAATTTTGTTGTAACATCTGTCCTCTACTGAAACAAAAGCACTTCAATCTTATTAATATTTATACATATATAATATATATTACACCCTCAGATCCATCTCCAGTTCCCCATGGAGTTTGAGTTCAGTCAGTACTACCTAAAGTTCCTGGCCTACCACTACGTATCCAACCGTTTCCGCACATTCCTGCTCGACTCGGACTACGAGCGCATTGAGCTGGGTAAGCAAGCATCGTTGGGCGTGAGTGTTTAATCAATTAAAAGGGGCCGTTTTGTGTTACTGACCCATCCACCATTACAGGAGTACTCTACGAAGAGAAAGGCGAGAGGAAAAGTCCTCAGGTGTGCAAATCCGTGTGGGACTACATCGACAAACTCAACAAGAAAACTCCCATTTTCTACAACTACATGTTTTCTCCCGAGGACGACGAGGTGCGAGCCTGAACAATAATCGAAAAAGAAACTGAGAGGGAAATTTAAAAAAATTATTTTTTTAAAGCTGAAGAAAATAATTTGTTGTATGTTCCAGGTGTTGCGGCCTTATACCTTCATCTCCAACCTGAAAGTTTGGGACTTCTACATGGAGGAAATGCTGTCCGAAGGGCCATCGTACGACTGGGAGCTGAGGGGTCGGCAGGAGCGAACGGCAGACGAAGCGGCGGCAGAGAAGCCCGACACCAGTGCCCCCAAATCCCAGCGCGTCATCGTGTGGCCTTGCTACGACAACCTCAGCAAGGCCGTGCCTGACGCCATCACCAAACTCCTGCAGGACGTGCAGAGCCTGGAGGCCGAGCTCGGCCAGACGTCGGAGAAGTGGAAGGACATGTGGGACAAAATCAAGGGGACACAGAGGACCGAGACTAAACTGGAGAGCAAGGTGAGGCTTTGGGAGGCTTCATCAAGTCAGATATTTGTAATTAGTTTTTTTTGTTTCTTTGTATTTTGTTTTTTTTTAACGTGGAAAAACCACCCAAAGTGCAAATAAGTTTGAATTTAAACAAACAAACCTGAGTTCTACTCGTCACCCACCAGCTCTTGTCCATCTTTCCTTCCTCTCCAGCTGTCGTTCTCCAGCTCCCTGCTCATGTCGTCCAACCTGAGCCACCAGCGCCGCTCTCAGGGAGTCTACCTGCAGGAGAGCGGCGTGGGGTCGTCCATCAACCTGGGGCTGGACTGCGAGGCCAGTGCCACCTCCACACCGGTGGCAGGCCGGCCCAGCACGAGCACGCTCTACAGCCAGTTCCAGAGCCACGAAAGCGAGAACAGGTCCGCACACGCCACTTCGAAGCAGTCTAGGTTTGTAGCAAAAACAGCTAAATGTGTAACTCTTCTTCTTTTTTTTTTGTTTCCCACCAGGAGTTTTGAAGGCATTCTGTACAAAAGAGGGGCATTGTTAAAACCATGGAGACCCCGGTGGTTTGTGCTGGATAAGACCAAGCATCAGGTAAGATCTTCCTAGGAAAAGGAAGTTTTTCCTTGCCTGTGTCGCCTAGTGCTTGCTCGTGGTCGGAATTGTTGGGTTTCTGTAATTAACTTCCGAGTAGGGTCTGACCTGCTCTGTTTGGAAAGCGCTGTGAGATGACTGTTGTTGTGATGTCGCGCTATATAAATAAAATTGAATTGAAATTGAATTTTATTACTCTCAAGTGGCCCGGAACTCTGGACAGTTTGTCTCTCTGCTGTTTCTGAGTTTATGTCTCCGTCTCCAGCTGAGATACTACGAGACCAGACAGGACAAGGAGTGCAAAGGGGTGATCGAGCTGGCCGAGGTGGAGTCTGTCACAGCAGGAACGCCAGCCATGGGAGCGCCGAAAAACATAGAGGAGAAAGCCTTCTTTGATGTGAGTGCACTTGTATTCATTGCCTCTGCCTTTTTGGTGGTCTGTGGAATTTAAAAAAGCTATTCAGGATTGATGGCTTTTAATGTATTTGGAGCTCAGCTGGACGCGCTTCCTGTTGTCTTTGGGTCACTTTCACCCACTTCACAAGTTTTTAAGTCATAACTTGTTTTTCCTTCCATATAACTGTCTAAAAATGACGGGGATGGTACTTTTACCTTGATTTATATCTCAACTTATGTGCTTTTGAACAAAGCTATAGCCAAGATAATTAATTATTCCTGCTGATTTTACTGACAGAAAGGCATAATTTAATGTAAAATTGCCCAAAAAAATACAAAAACAATTTGTGGTAATGTGTTTGAAAAAAGTTGACTAAATTTGTGTCATAATTTCATACGTACTTTAATGCCTAATAAACAGTATGTTTCACCCAAGCGTTCAGGCTGGGTAAAACAGACTGTTTCTTAATCTGTTTTATTAAGCTTGGTGACTTTTTGCTGCCATTGAAAAATACTGAAATGGCATCAGATCAGTTTCCTAACTAAATTGACATATATTTACATATATATACATACATTTTGTCCCCCCCCACAAAAAAACAGGTCAATAATGCCATGTATAAATGAAAATGTGTAAAAAAACAAATAAAATTTGTTATCATTTCATACCCTTTGCATCGTAAGCAGTGAAAACAGCCTTGGTCGGAGAAAAAGAGCATACTACACAGATAGTATGAGGGTTAACTCCTATTTTCCTTTTGACATTTCAGCTGAAGACGACCAAACGAGTGTACAACTTCTGCGCCCAGGACAGCCTGAACGCTCAGCTGTGGATGGACAGTGTTCAGAGCTGCCTGTCGGACGCATAGAGAGGAAAAAAAAAAAAAAGACTCCTCACCACGGAGGCATCAGGGTGGGGCTGCTGCCCAACGAAGGCCTCTGTTTGCAGAAAAACAGGACGGAGAAGGGGCCTTTCACCACTAGCACCATTCTGTTCTCTCTCGTGTTGGAACTTATCCTACGTCGTAACGTTTCAGAATTGTTTTGTTATAAAAAAAAAAAAAAGGTAAAAGAAAAAAAAAAAAATGTTCCAGAAGAACCACTTCCTGTTGTAGCTGCAGCCTCTTACCCACCCCCCCCCCCCCCACCCCCCCCCCCCCATCTGACAGTCTGACCACTATATGCCATAAAAACGACGCATACTAAAGCACGTTGTCGCGTTTCTGAGGCGTCCCGCAGCTCGGACCAGCATGAAGATCCTTCCAGACCCTCCATCTGTAAACAACCCCCCACCACCATCAACGCTCCTTCTCTTACTAACCCTTCACTCACTTACCCTTTAAGTACACTTTACGGAGGAATGACGGGGGGAGCTACAGTCGGCTCGGAACTCATCAGACTGCTCAGATCGACTGGTTGGGCGAATGGACCAAAACTGCCCTGAGGAACAAAAAAAACGACATTCTATTCGTTCCTCAGACGCTCTCACTGCCTGATGTCGCCCACTCACTGTTCATCTAGAAGACGTGCATGTGTTTTAAGGCTGAATGGGACGGGGGGGAAGGACACACCAATGGTTCATGAAGGATGACTTTTTTTGTCCCTTTTTTTTTTTTTTTTTTTAATGATCCTACAATCTGAAGTTCATACCAGAAAAAGTTCAAGCGCTTATTAGCTTTCCCCCGCAGGTGGCAGCGACTTACTGTGAAAGCCATAAATCAGTAGTGAAGATCAAACAAAGGGGAGCCAGCGGGAGATTCAAGTCCGTCAGGTATTTAGAGTATCGGTGAACTTTCATTGAGCGTGTTTACAAAGTAAACAAAACTTCCCTTTGCTTAAACCTTACAGTCAACCGTTATTAACACGCCGCTTTTTTAAGGGACGCCATAGGAGAAAGGAGGGATTTATCTTGTTGTAACGACTTCAAAGCGACCTATAGAAGGAGGTGGGTTAGAGGCGAGGTTTGGCGGATGGAGCGGTGGGATTTTCATGAGGTGAATAAAGACAGTATTTAGTGACGATAGAGGGCGTTGCAGTGCTCGTGCATTGGAAACAGGATGGATGTATGTTAAAAAGAAGATTCTATTTTTTTTTTCTTTCATCTGAGCAGTGTTCTTTTTTTAACGTGCCTGTTATGACTTTGAGGCCAGATGGATTTGCACTCACCAATCCACAAAGAAATTTATACAGTATGTGAAGGCAAATAGAGGATTTCCACAACTAAATTGCAGCAAAATTATACAAAAAAAAACTATTGGGGGTAGCTAGGATGGAATTTTCCATGAAAGTTCTCATGGGCATACTTCCATAACATCCACCTGGACTCATCATCTTAGATGGGGAACCAGTGGAACAAAATTCCTTAATCTGTTTGATCTTCGTCAGACACACGGTTACCAGTACGGTGAACAAGAGTTGTTTCAGTGTCATAGCTTTGTCCAACTGCCCTCCCACACTCAATCACTTTGACCCACTTTAACGTCAAAAATACAGTTCTACTGCTGTCTTTTAACATCAACATTGAAATTGTAGATTTCTTTTTTTTTTTCTAATAATTTCTTTTGTATATACTACTCCAGATTTGTATGTAACATTTATGGTAGTAATTTATTTAACTTTGTCTCCTCAGTAAAAGAGTTCAACCACTTTATTTTTAAATTAGGAATTCAATGTGCCATTTGTTTATTTCTGTATTAATGTGACTAATGCTTTTTTTTTTTCCTTTTTGGAAAATGTACATGTAAACCCTCAATGTTTTTTTTTTTGTACTTTTAAAGACAGTTCTAATGTTACACAATTTTTCATGCAACAGTGAAACAGGTGTGTTAGTGGGCTTCTTTTTAAAGACTGATTTTTTTTTTTTTTTTTTTACTGAGTTGCTCGCCCACTGCGGTGGGATGATCTGGATGTAGATTTCAGTCAAAATAAATGTCAGATATGAAATTTTCTTCCCTTTCGTTTTATTTCCCATTGCTGGGTTCTGCTGATTGGCGCAGTAACGGGTTAAGGTGCTCCTTGTGGTTTCATCTTCAGCAGTAAGAGAATAAACGGATGCACTGATGGGTTCATTTGGGTTTCTGGGATAGGGATGATTTCAAGCCTTTTGAGCTTTCGAGTGTGTAAAAAACAAAACAAAAAAACAATGATGTCACTTTAACATTACAAGCATTTAAAACTGCCTAATAGTTTTGTGATTTGCTTTGCTCGCGAACAAAACATGCAAATGTCCCCCAATGCATCCTTTTAGACGCCGACTTTTGCCTCAATTTCTGATGTAAAAACAGTTCGAAGTACCTTCTTTCAGGATTGAGTTCCAGCTTCTCTGACGACCATCTTCTGAATCAAAACGTACCAGTAATGAGACCTCTTCACAAATAATAGTTACTAAGACAGAATGTCCTGGACGTAGTTGGACGAATGCCGATTTTAAAAGCAGTGTTGAGCTTCCTGTGGTGTACTTTGTGCAGTATTACTGCTCTGTGGCCTTTTAAAGATAACAATGGTCTACTAGAGTTCAGAGGACCAAAATTAAAAAGACTGACAAATAAAATGAGCCTTCTCCTGCTAAAGGGATGAACCAAAGTGACATATCAGCGAGAACCTGGCTGTGGGAACACTTAAATGTGACATTGTCTGGTGACTGCAACCTACATTTAGTCAGCCACAGATCATATTTTCTTTTCATTTTTTTGTTTACTCATCTCTTAATAGTAATACTCAACAGAAATTAGCTACATTAACCACAAGGATAAAAGCTAATCTTTTTTTTCTTCTACTTGTTCTTAGAAACAAGCTGAGCCGGGTTTTTGTTGTCAATCATAGTTCGTTTTTAGAGTCTAAATAAACTGTGGGTTTAAAAAGTTCTCTCAGGTGTATACTGGTCACTTTCAGCAGCTTTTATATTTTTAAAATAAACCTGATTTTGTGTTAGTGTACCATTACTTTTTTTTTTTTAAAGCCCACAACTTGTATTCACTCATATTAAACACAGATTCCTTTTCATCCTAGGTTATTTTTGTGTAGGTATAGATGTTATCTGAGAATACATAAATGGTTCCTGATGGTGCATTCTGGACTCCACAGAAAGCAGGCTGCTACAGACTTCCCTTTCTACTCCTTTAAAATATTTAAATCTAACCTTAACTAAACATAATTCTGTAACGCTACCATAATATAAAAAATGTATATTATGAGCACCCCACCCCCCCAAAAAAGACGTTATATATATTTTATGATACTTCAGTTGGCACATCGGAGAATTGAGTTTGACATCTACCTCTGCATAACAAAGAAAAGGTTTGCATGTTTCTGAGTGCATGTATGCACAGAGGGGTTCGGCCTGATCAGATGGAACTTTAAAAATTAAAAATAAAACTCAAGCATCCTACTAAAAGACAATCAGGATGGCAGAGGAGTTTTTGGTACTAACGCGATAAACCAGACACTTTTAATTTCAATGTTTTTTTAGATAGTTTTTGTTTTGTTTTTTAACAATGATCATAGAACCCTATTTCTGTCAAATTATTTGAATAAGTACACCAAAGAGGCTGTGAGCTTTGTAAAAACTCAGGCCCTCGTGTCGAATCCTGCTGGTTAAAAAAAAAAGGAAAGAAATGAAAGAAAAAAACCCCACAAAGTGTCACTCTTACAAGACACCGCTCCTGCCCCGTGAGTAAGTGCTGAGTAAGAAAGAAAAAAACCCAATAGACAACAATGATCTCACAAATTTCTTGGTAAAATTACTTTTAAATGGAGATAATATTTGTATATAGGTAGATAATGTTTGGTTGATTTCAGGAGATAGAATTAAGAACTTGAAAAGAAATTACAATCAGAAGGTCTTAGCTCACTAGCTAGGTCGACAAAGAACCGGTTATACATGCATTATAAAGGAAGAAAAGATCTTTTAATTAAAAAAAAAAAAAAAGTGGTCAAATAAAAATGTCAGCCTGTAATTATTTCAAAAATTTTGTTTGCTCCAAACAACTTTTCTCCAAGACTGGACTGAATCTTTTTTTCTTTAAAAAAAAAAGAAAACTGATTTCTTTCAAATAAAATGGCATTGACATTATTGCACATGAGCAAAAGACAGTAATACTATAAGAGCTCAGTTCATTTACCAGTCCCTCCACAACAGAGCCCCCTGAAGCAAAACAGTACGGCAACAACGTATGTTTCATCAACAGCAACGGAAAGAAAGAAGAGGGTGAGAGGAGATAACAGCCAGCAGAGATGAACACTTACATTGTGCTATAATGTACAGTAAATGGCTGCGTAAGTGCTTTTTTTTTCTTAAGCTTTGAAGG